GCGAAATGTATACGTTTCTTTATTGAATTTCAGTTTATGAAGTGTATACGTTTCAATAGGGAATTTTAGTTTGTGAAGTGTATACGTTTCAATAGGGAAGTTTAGTTTGTGAAGTGCATACGTTTCTTTACTGAATTTCAGTTTGTGAAGTGCATACATTTCAATAGGGAATTTTAGTTTGCGAAATGTATACGTTTCTTTATTGAATTTCAGTTTATGAAGTGTATACGTGTCAATAGGGAATTTTAGTTCGTGAAGTGTATACATTTCAATTGAGAATTTTAGTTTGTGAAGTGTATACGTTTCAATAGGGAAGTTTAGTTTGTGAAGTGCATACGTTTCTTTACTGAATTTCAGTTTGTGAAGTGTATACGTTTCAATAGGGAATTTCAGCTTGTGAAATGCATAAGTTTCTTTATTGAATTTCAATTTATGAAGTGTATACGTTTCAATATGAAATTATATACATAGTCCACATATGAAATCTTCTGGAGAGTAAAAGTATAGGTGTCGCAGTGGTGTTGTTGAAATATAGCAAGTCCGTTGATATGTTTGTTTGTAGTTAAACACAAAGCTCCAAAGTGGGCTATCTGTGATCTGTCCACCACGGGTATCGAAACTCGATTTCTAGCGTTGTAATTCCGCAGACATACCGCTATGCTATTGGGGGGGGGGGGGTGTGACAGTAAACAAACCATGTAGATAAATATTCTTTAATAACTAAAACTCGTTTTGAAGTGGGGCTTACACTATTACAACCCTCAACATATCTAATTATAAGTTTTATAACATTTTTTTTGTATTAAGTTACTTTTATGTAACTTAATACAAATCTTAACTTCGGGACTCCTTTCACTATATCTAAAATATTCAAAAAAAATTAAATTAAATTAACATATTTTGAAAAAAATGTTTTTTTTTTGTTTCCACTCAATCACCATAGTTGTAGTTTCTTGTGCATAACTTGTAGATGATGTATGTATTATTCCTCAGTACATGATGTATTGATGACGTAATATTTATCAGTGTATGATGTATTAATGACGTAATATGTTTAGATGGATATGAATAACCAAGACAGACAATTTTTTTTTATCTTCAAACAGTCTGTTATTGTGTTTTCAATAAGCGATTAAAGTAACCTTTTTTTTTTTTTTTCCTGCGCATTGATACAGAATCAAACGAATGGTGGAGAGCGGCTTGCTGATGAAGTGGCGACAAGAACATTACCCCCAAGACAATCAATGTACCACGTCGTCGAAACCCCAAGCCGGAGATACCCGAACTATAACTATATCTCATATGCTGGGTTCTTTTTACGTCCTTGCGATCGGTTTTGGTGCTTCTCTCGTCGCTCTGATAATAGAAGTCTCGTACATCAAATGTTATAAAGCCAACCAAACCAATCAGAATGCGATGTTCGAAAGAAGATTGCCAATATCCGATCCCACGCTCTTCAAACGCAGCAACAGTGGCTTTAAGTCGAGTAACCAGGGCGAGTGGCAATCGAAAGTGTATCCATCCAACAGTCACTTGAATCTTCTAGCCTCCAAGAACCATGACGTACCTGATCGAGCCAAGTACTCTCCCCCGGACCGCGCACTTCAAACACAAGCTTTCCAATATGGCGACCAACGGTTTCAAGCTTACAATACAGATTTTGGAACAAAATAAACTTGGCATGTAAGATGTATGATCTAACATTTCTATTTTGTAGTTTGTAAGACTTTAACTTGGTTTAAAAAAAAACAACAACAAAACAAACAATATTTTGACGTTTAAAATCGTATAATACTTCAATTTATTTAATGTGATAACGTTTTATCTACATAATCGAAACAAGTATAATTCTTTGCAATTCAAATAGAAATTACAATAAAATTGTAATGCCATTACGAAAGAGGATCGATGGCTTACGTGAAGTTAAATTGTTACAGACTACAAATATATTAGAACAGCCAGTTCGTCTGAAGAAACTGTAAATAAATAAATGATACACGCATACGAAGACATTAAAAGAAGACAATCGCACTGTTTTGATCAGCACAACAAGTAAATATTTTGATGGTTAGAATAGGGAATAAAATATTCAAATATATAATACACACCGTGTTTTGTTGTTACCGTTATTCTGAATAATATATATATATATATTATGGTAAACATTTATGGTAGTTCTGTTGAATTGTACATACCTCGTACACGCACAGAAAAGCCTACAAGACTCTATAAGAAATAACGCGTATACTTTGAATGGTTTAAGTCACGCAACTCATGACTGATTTGCATACTTTTTTTTTTTTAAATATTATAATATTAGATTTTTGCGTGATTTTCAGTTGAAGTTTTCAAAGAGCCTTACTTGATCACTATGAAATATTCATTAAGTCTCTACAACGGATTGATTTTCCTAGCTATTGTATAATGTGAAAGCAACTTTAATGAATTGTGAAGCTGTGACGGATACCACGTGCAGGAAACTTTTGTGTCAAGGTACTGTATGAATTGAGTACTTCTATTTTTTTTTTTTCTTTAAAGTTGTTCCAGTCTGATACGAATCAATTCAAGTCGTTCAAGGTTTAATAATAAAATCACGTTTCGAGTTCAAAAAAAAACAACAACTAAATTTTCGTCCCGTGTCCCAAGATGCTACAGTTACGCTTAGCTGATTTGTGTAAAGTTGTTGGAGTACGTTCATATTACTGTTAATTTCGTAATTAAAACGCCATATGGTTGCACTAAAAAACAAGGGTTTGAAACGCGTAATATACCAAACAAGAGTTGACTATGAGTGATTTTACAAATTTCAAAAACAAAGAAAAGCGTTCCTTCCATAAAACGTTATGGATATGCAGGTCTCTAGTGAATCGTCGAAGTGGTAAGTTACAACGTTAAAATCCAGGGTTTGAGTCCCACAAGTGATATAGAGCACAGGCGTAGCTTTGCGTAATAAAATCACAGTCAACGAATAGTTACATTATAACGCCCCCACGGCTGAAAGGGCGAGCATGCTTGGTGAGACGGGGATTCAAACCCGCGACCCTCAGATTGTGAGTCGAGTGCCCTAACCACCTGGCCAATTAAAGTGAAAATAACTTAGTCACGTGAGTTAAATCCACATGGTAGGTTGCTGCTAAAGTGATAGATGTAAGGTGTTTTTTTTTTTCAGTTTACGATTGTGTTAACCTATGTAATGTCGTAGTTTTATTTCACGTTAATATTTACTATCTCAAAACACGAAACTTAAGTAATACGCTTTGATATTCTTATTTCGTCTCCCAGTGGCACATCTGCGGATTTACAACGTTTCGATATGCATGATGGGTAGAGCACAGATAGCCCATTGTGTAGCTTTTTTGCTTCACCTCAAACAAACCTACTTATTTCAGCAATAATAATTTTTTTTTAATAATCCACAAACTTATAATATTCAATTCGATCTTAAAAGAGTTTAAGAGCTCAGCGTTTTAACACAAGAATAAGGCTATCTTTAAATGCAAGACACGCACAAGATATTGTGCATTATATATATATATTTGGCGGTAAGGTTGGTCAGCAATTATTCCTTTGTGAAATAACTTCTGTTGGCGTAAAAAAATACCCCATTAGGATATTTAGTTACAAACCTACGTATAATCAAATATTCACATGCCTATAGATATCAATATTCAGGAACGAACCTAAACCTAATCAGACACTTATATAACTATTATAAACCTTATTAATATTCAGGCACGAACCTAGATTTACTCAAACACCTGAAAGAGTGTTACGAACCTTATTACTAGTCACACACGAACCTAAATGTAATCATACACTTGCATAAATATAAGATAAACGTTATTAACACTCAGGCATCAACGTAAGTCTAACAAAGTGTTGTATGTCTATAAAGAACTGTATAAATATTCAGGAACGATCCTAAACGTAATCAGACACTCACACGCGTATTACGAACCTTCAGTTGTATTCAGACACAAACACACCAGTAATTAAACACTCGTAACTGTTTATTTGTTTATAAAACAATTGTACTAAATCTTGCTCAAAACATCAAAATGGTTTTTTTTTTTTATTTATCGCACAAAGAATTTTCAATAGTTTATTTAAATTGCAACTGGAAAATGTTATTAGTGAAATTCATTGAACTCATTCAAACGTCGGGTTTTCGAGAATGTTGGCGTATTAATTACTAACTGTTTTTAGTGGTGCATATTATAGACGTATTATATATATATATATGAATAAATAAAATATTTATATCTGTTGCAAGCTATTGTTGCTTTAGTTATTGATATTCTTGCACGTTTTGCAGAGATTGGTGTATTTTTGTTGATATCACTGTTGAAAAATAAAACGTTTTACTATTGCATTTTTCCAAGAGTGTTATTGTTCTCTTCTATTGTTAATTAGTCCTTACATCTCTAGTATCTTTCAGTCCATCATTGTCCAAACAATGTGTGCAACAATCTTCATCTTCGTGTATACTCTTTGTTGGGGTTCGCCCAATAAAATTGAAAAAAAAAAAATCAGATAATGAATGCAAAAGTAAAGAATGTGTGAAAAATTTTCATCTTCGTGTACAACCCTAGTTGGGGTTTCGCCTATAGCCCCCCCCCCAGTGGACTTACAACGCTAGAAATTGGGTTTCAATACCCTTGATAGGCAGAGCGCAGATAGCCCATCGTGTAGCTTTGTGCTTAGTTACAAAGAAACAAACGAAAGTTTCGCCAATAAATTTGAAAAAAAAAAATCAGAAAAAGTAAAAAAATGTGTGAAAGATCTTAATCTCTGTGTATAATCATAATTGGAGTTTCGCCAGTAAACTTGAAAAACATCATGTGCGAAAAATCTTTATTTGCGTGTTATAAGCCTATTTAGGCTTCGCCAAATGAGCTTGAAATAAAAAAAAACCGATAATAAAAAAAGCTAAAGAAAATATACAAGTTCTTTTTTTTTGAACATTAATTTGTTTTGATTTTTTATCAAGATTTATATTATAATATTTGCTGAGTTTTTATTGACTGCTGCAAACAGGTCACCTTGATTATAACTGGAAAAATGTCTCTCATTTTACTCATTTGATAAAAGCTTTTTCTCAAGGATAACAATTATCTCAAAAATCGTCAATGAACAAATAAGCTGGGCCTATCGGTTAACGTGTCGGGCTATGAATCTAAGGATTTAAAGTTCGCGTCCCTTTGCCTCAATTTGCGCTCCTTACTTTGGAGAGTGACGATAACTCTTGGGCTACTCTTTTACCAATGAATAGTGGATTGACCGTCACATTATAACGCCCCCACGGCTAAAAAAGCGAGCATATTTGGTGTGAGAGGGATTGGAACCCGCGACCCGCAGATTGCGAGTCGAGCGCCCTAACCACCTGGCCATGCCGGGCCTTTTTGGATAGTTTGTTTGATTGTTTCGATTGGTTTGAATTTCGCGCTAAAGCTACTACGAGGGCTATCTACGCTAGCCGTCCCTAATTTAGCAGTGTAAGACTAGAGGGAAGGCAGCTAGTCATCAAC